TCGTGAGTTTCATTTTATAATAATCCATTGAACTATTTATTTGTGTTTTTAGCCCAACTTTTTAAAATTGATTTTAGAGAAGAAGGGAGAGGGAGAAAGAAACAACCATGTGAGAGAGAAATGTCCATCTCCTGCCTCCACTATGTGCCCGGACCAGGGATCGAACCCGCAGCCCGGGCACAGGCCTTGAGCCGAATGGAATTTGCCCCTCCCGCTCCCTGCAGTGCTCACACCCCAACCGAGCCACACCAATGGCTTAGCACACTTTTAACATGTGTATTATTTTTTCACAATGCTTTATTTCTTTTTTAAATTTATTTTTATTTTTAAAAATTTCTTTATTGATTAAAGCCTGAGTGCAGGGCTGAAAGGATTACTCAGTTTCATGTAAAAGAGAGGGCTAAGGGGCTGCCTGGCTCAAGGGACCAAGCAGCCTCCATTGCCTGCCCAGTTAGCCTGGTATCATAACAGCAGTCTGAGATAAAGTTTATCTTTTAGATACAATCGGTAAAGTCGGTAATCTTGGGAGGGCAGTGTCTTTTAAGGAAGTGCACCCAAAGATTAGGCGTAAGGATTCCAGTAGTCACCAGGGGGTCTGCACCTGCACCTTTGGAAAGGTCTATAGATAATTAGGGGTGCCGCCTTCCACACTCCCCTAAGCTTTCCCGAAGTCAGAATTCCCATGAACGGGGCAGGCGGACCTTCCGCACACGCCCCTTTCCTCATAATATCCTCCTCACAGACTTTCCAACCCAGTCTCAGGCTTCCCAGCACTTGAGGATTGAAAGGTGACCCGCCTGGTTCTGCCAGGGCTTAGAGAGCAGGTGGGAAGAGATGTGTGTGTGAGGAAGGCCAGGGCTGGGCAGAGGCCAGATGGACAGACAGGAAGCTATATGGACTGTTCTAGACATTGTCCTAAGCCTGTCGGGGTGTCGAACTCAATCAGAGAAGGGGCCAAAATCTAAAATCCAGCCTAAATCTCGGGCCGAATGGTTTACTGAACAGTCATAAACTGTCATTGTGATGGAAACGCAGCGGAGTGCAGTGATGACAGCGCGGTGCGGGCCACATTGCAAGGCCTGGCGGGACGGATTTGGCCCACGGGCCTTGTGTTTGACACATGTGTCCTAAGGGAACAGGGTGACACCATGAGTGGTGTTAAAGCTGGGAAGTGACCTGATGAATCCAGTGAGCTCATTCTGCCTGGAACGCGGGAATAAAGTGAACACAGTCAGGAACAGAAGCCAAGAACCGGTTAGGAAGCCATGTTAGTAATTCTGAAGGTTGGTGGGAGCTTGGACTAGGGTGGAGGCAGTGGAGAGGAATACAATGCCCTGTGCCCTGGATGTGCTTAACGATTCTGTTCAACTATGCCCGGCACTATTTCTTTGGCATGTGGTTAAAAATACGGTGATGTTATATTGCGTACTCTGTTATATACTGTATCTTGCTATATATAATACATGCTTATAACCTATCTACTTGCACATACATTTTGTGTACAGAGTTATACACACAAAATCAGGCCTGCTGTATTTTATGAGTGATTTAAGGTATTTCCAAAGTTATGTTGCGTACATAACTCTTGTCTTACACGCTGACTTTAGAACCTAACGTTAGTGTAAGGAACAACCCCATTGCTGATGGAATTAAGATACTGAGGAGGTTTGGTGGGTGATTGAAATAGGAGGGAGAGAAAGAGGAATTAATTAAAAATTGATATTCTCAGGCCTCCTGCCTCAACAAGTGAGTAGACAGTGGTTCTATTTACTGAGATGGGACCCACCAGGGGATGAACAGTTGGAGGGTAGAAATGATGGGCTCCTTTTTCTTGATATTGTATGAAAATCCTCAAAAATGTAGAAAAGTTGAATGATTGTACAGCACATACTTACCACCTAGATTCTACAACTTCACTTATTGTGTGTTTTCTTCTTCACATCTTCCCATGTACCCAGAAGAGTTAGTTTCAGAGCAAGCTGAACTAGTATCTAAGTGTCCTGTCTAAAAGGCTGCTAGTCTAAAGTACAGAAACAAGTTGTTTAAAGAGCTAAAATTGACCCAAAAACATTTTTTTTAAACTTAAAAAATTATAATTTCAACTTGAACTGCTCTCTTGACTCTACCCTCTTCAGCTCATCTATTCCTATCCACCTGTCTGTCCATTTAATATATATATATATTTTAATATGTTCACATTACTTTTTAAAAAAATATATTTTATTGATTTTGTACAGAAAGGAAGGGAGAGAGATAGAGAGCTAGAAGCATCGATGAGAGTCATCGATCAGCTCAAGGTACATGGCCTTGACCGGAATCGAACCCAGGTCCCTTCAGTCCCCATCCAAACCGGTTTCGGCCACATTACTTTTCTTTAAAAATTTCTTTAAAATTTTCTTGATGAGACAGAGGGAGGGAGGGAGGGAGGGAGGGAGGGAGGGAGGGAGGGAGGGGGGGGTTGTGATTGGCCATCAGTTGATGCTTCTATGTGCCCTGCCTGGGGATTGAACCTGCAAGCTCAGTGTATGCAGATGATGCTCTAACCAACTAAGCTACCCCTGAGGGTCTCTGTTCACATGACTTTTCCTTCGCAATCCTTCACAGCTGCTTACTGCCAGGCTGGCATGACTTGCAGTCCTTCAAGCTCTTCCAGCAGGCATGACGAAGTCTAAATTGCCGCCCTGATGCCTATCTACTCCCCCACACCATTTAGACTGCTTAGTGGCTTCTCACATATACCAACCATACCTTCTGCTTTATGGCCTCCTCCCAGACACCCCGAAAGCCAGGCTGGGACAACTGGAGCCTCCACAGAGCTAGAAATCCTTGAGGATGGTGTTTAGTCTCTTACAGCCAGAATCCTTAGCACGTTGCCTAACACAGAGCAGACGTTCTGCTTTACTGTAGCTGAACTTTGTATACACACAGGGCTTTGTACACCTCCCTTTTCCTCCCGGCAGAATCCTGCTCAGGCCCGAATTCAATCAGGACGCTTCCAAGTAGTGTGGGACTCTGACTCCGTTATCCACCGCCCCTGGACTTAATTAGTCATGTTTTAGTAGTTTATATTTTAATGGTTTATCTATACAACTGCAGTGCATGCTAACGCGTTCGCCTGCCTTGGGAACTAACAGCATTTCTACCCACGCTGCTCTTCCATGGAATAGTTCACTGACCCCTTTAACTGGGCTCCAGAGGCGAACATCCTGTTAGCACTGACATTCTGTTTGTTGTTGTTGCTAATCCTCACCCAAGGATATTTCTCCCATTGCTTTTCAGAGATAGTGGAAAAGAGGAAGGGAGGGGAAGAGCGAGGCCTATCAGTTGGTTGCCTCCCACAGGCCTCCAAAGGGGCAGGGATTGGCCCTGCAACCCAGCTACAGGCTCTTGACCAGGGATTGAACCCGTGACCTTTGGTGCTCAGGCCATCGCTCCAACCACTGCGCCACCCTGGGCAGGGCAGCACTGATAGTGTTTCATAGCTGCTTACTATTGCTGGCCGGGTCCCTTCCCCTCCGCCCCGGCAGACTGAAACCTCCTAGCGTTAGGGACAGCGGTCCGCCTTAGGACTCCGGCAGGGACCGAGGGGGGTGAGGGGGGTGCGGGCCCCGCCTGCCCGTGCCCAGTCCCTGGGTCCTAGCGCTCGAGGGATCGACGGATCGACGCCGGATATCCGCTCAGGCGCAGTGACGTTTAAGAGCGCGTGATGCGTGCTAGCCCTTGTCCACCATAACCCGGAAGTAGGGCTGTTGGTGAAGGGGTGGGGCCCAACGCGGAACTCGCTCGCTCATTGGCTCCCGTGCTGACGGACTGGGGAAGGAGCCACTGAGATGCTGCTTGCATCCCGGCAAAATATAAATAAGTAAATAAACAACAGGCCGTGAGGAGGGGAGTGGTGATGCCTGCTTGGGAGCTGCCAGGGCTCAGCTTGTTCACTTTTGACTTAACCTGGGAAGTCAGAAGTGAAGTCCCGTTGTCCTGACAGCGGAGTCGCCACTCGTCTTAATTCCGATATTTCCAGCTCTGGCTTCCCGGGGCAGCCTCCGGGGGCTGTCCCGCCGCCCTGGGGTCCATGTTAGGTCTGGCGGCTATAGCCCCCTCCTGTCGCCTTTGGACAGACATGCTCCCAACTGGCCACCCAGGTAGTTGCCTGGCTGGCTGCCACTTAGACTTTGTAAAAGGAAAATCGGAACACATTCTCTGCATGTGACCGGTGCCTTCCTGGGCTCAGGTGCCAATTTCCACTTTAAAGCACGCGGATGAGGCGTTCAGGCTGCAATCCCGCTGATCCTCCCAGTCACATCTCAGGATCACCGCCAGAGTCAGGCCCTTTCAGCTCTGCGCTTGTGCTTGAGTTGCCCCGTCTGCCTGATGCACCTGCCCCTTGCACCCTCTGTTTTGCTGCTGGAGAAGCTCAACCTCACTCGGAGGGCTTCCGCAGTGACCGTATTGCCCGCAGCCCTGCTCCCACCTCTGGGCATGCACACAGGCACTCTGGCTGTTCAGTGCCACACTGCTTATCACACCTGCTAGGTGCCTGACAGAGTGACCGGACGGAAGGGACTAGCACAGTGGATGTTGATAGTTCAATAGATGGATATTGAATGAATCAATATGGACTCTGAAGATCAAAAGTGAAGATTAAAAAGTGTCAGGCCGGTGTGGCCAGTGGGTGAGTGTCAACCTATGAACCAAAAGGTCATGGTTTGATTCCCAGTCAAGGCACCTGCCTAGGCTGCAGGTCCGACCCCAGGGTGGCGTGTGCAGGAGGCAGCAGATCAACGATTCTCTCATCATTGCTGTTTTTCTCTCATTCTCCCTTTCCATTCCTCTTTGAAATCAATTTAAAATTTTTTCTTTAAGTGTCAGGCAGGGCTGGGGTATTTTGGGGGTTCACCAAGAACGTGAACCACATCTTTTTCACTTCGGAATCTTGTTAGCTGTTTAACATGGTGACCATCCTTTTAAAATATGTGAATAAATTCAAGATGACAAATAGCGAGGTTAAGCCATTTATTTATGGTTCGACTTCTGCCCTGTGAGGGCAGGGCAGGGCAGTGGGCCTCAGGGTTCAGTCACTGAAGAAAATGCCAGCAGCCAGGCTTAGGAGGGCGTGTTTGTGTGTGAGACAACGAGGACACCAAATCCCAGAGGTGTTGACTGCAATGCGTATTCAAGGAGGGCGGGGTGGGGTGGGGTTCACCCAATCTGATCCTTCCAGGTTCTGGGGTGACTCACTTTTCCTTGGCTTCAGAGGTGGGGCTGCTAGTTGTTCCCTGAGTCGGGTCCTGTTTCTCCTGGCCCTTGGCGTCCCCCCAGTCCCCGGCCACCAGAGCCACATTCCTCAGGTAGTTGACGTTGAAGCAGTTGGTCTGTTCATCCCCAGGACTCATCTTACAGCAGAAGGCAGAGTCTCGCCAGAAGTCACGCTGGGGGCCACACAGGTCACTGATGTAGGATGTTTTCTGGAGTGTGGGGAGAAGAAAGCAGAGATGGGGAGGGAGGGGGTGGTCAAAGGCCAGGCATGGAGACTTGTGTGCCCCGAATCGCCCTCCCTTCAGCTCCTACTGCTCTCTTCCTGGGTCCCAGAGAGGATGCAAGGCTGCCCTGCACAGCTAGACTTCCCGAGATGGGCAGATGGGCGCCTCTGCAAAGGCTGGAGCTTAATAGGAATGGAGCAGGTCAGGTCAGGAGTGAGAACTTCTGGAACAAGAAGAAAGATCCCTCCCCCTAGTCCTCGTTATTTCTGTGGTCTGTTTTGAGGTCCTAAAAGTGGGGGTAGCCTCCAGGTCTAGCCATCTCCCTCCCCTCCCCAGCTTTCCCTCAGAGACGCTGCCTCCCTGCCCCACTCACCTCCTCCTCGGCACAGCAGGCTTGCTCTGGAAGGGGCAGCTTACAGCAGCGGTCAGTCATGTTTCGGATCAGCCCAGGAATCTGCTTACTGTGGTGGGAAAGGGCAGGGATCAGGGTCTTCAGGAGACTCCAGGCCAAGAGTGCCCCAGAGGATGTCCCAAAAGGAGATTTTTGGGAAGGGAAGAGAGTTGGAATTGTACAAGACTTACTGCTTGGAGATAACTCTCTGGTTTCCACAGATATAGTACATGATGTTGGGGGTGACTCGGCTGAGGTCAACGGTCAGGAGATCCCGGTCATATTTGGGGAAGGGAGCCTTTTGGGCGAAGCATTCGTCGCGTTTCGGGCTGGGAGGGAGCCGGCAGCAGGAGTGGGGGTGGGTCTTTATAGCCAGTTCTCGCTCACAGTAGCCATCGAGGGACTCCTCCCACTGTGAGACAGAAAGAGGGAAGTCAGAAGCCTGGACTCTTCTCCCCTTCTCCCCTCACCCTCCACTTCCCTTGTTGCCCACACCATAAGGAGAGGGACTCCCCACCCCAGGTGCCAGAGGGAAGGACAAGGAGCCAGGGGCAGGGAGGCAGCTGTGGTGTGTGAGGTTGGGGAGGTGGGGGAGAAGCACAGGTGAGGCTCGGAGCTGGCCACGGGAGGTGAGCTGGACCGGTAGACGGAGAGGGCTGGGTGAGGCTAGAGCTGGGTGGACGGACGGACGGCAGACAGGTACACGTGTGGGATCATGGGTGGACCAGGCCAGGAGTGCAGGATGGAGGCTCAAGATGAACAGACTCAGGTGACGAACAGTGGATGGACGGACATTCACAAGCAGACGGGCGGGTAAACGCATTCACAGCGGGGAGGCACGTGGAGGATCAGACCAGAGGCGGCGGACAGGCAGACTGGCTCTCCGGGGGCCGGGACGCCCACTTACAGCCTTCCAGGCACAGGTGTGGTTACTCCCCTGCCGGCAGCAGCGCTGGAACTCCACCTCCAGGCGGCTCAGCGCCTGCAGCTGCCTCTGGAGCTGGTCAGTGGGTGGGAGGTTGCGTGGCACCGAGCGGAAGCGTCTTGCGAGGCAGATGTACTTGATATTGTCCAGCATGGGCATCGCAGGGGGGAAAGGCAGCTCCAGGCCCATGGATATCACAGACGGGCGGCGGGGGCAGGCCTGGGGCCTGTAGTGCGGCCGGGGAGCTTCCTCCTGGAAGCAGGAGAACCGAGCCTCCCCCTGCTGTTTGCAGCACGAGTGGGGTCGGGTCTTGATAGAAAACTCGGCCTCACAGAACTGGTTCATTGCGTCCTCCCACTAGAGGAGAAGGGTGGGTCAGCCTCCAGCCCCGTCCACAGTCCTGTCTTCCTCTCAGGCTCCAGGGAGGGCTCTGGGCAGTGAGGTCGGAAAGCAGCAGAGACGGTCTCTGCTCTCCAAGATAGGACCAGTGAGGTTTCTGTACACCCAGGCCTTGGCCTCCAGCCCTACACACACTCACACACTCACACACACACACACATATCTCACACACACACTTCACATTCACACACCCCACACACACACTCACACACACACACACACACACACACACACATATCTCACACACACACTTCACATTCACACACACCCCACACACTCACACTCACACACACACACACACACACACTCACACACTCACACACATATCTCACACACACAATTCACATTCACACCCCCCCACACACACACACATCTCACACACCTCACACTCACACTCACACACACACACACACATCTCACATTCACACACTCACACACACACACTATGTCTGAGGTTTAAAGGACACCCTAGGACTAAAAGCCCGAGCCTTACCACAAGTTTTGCACAGTCCATGCGCTTTGCATAGTAGTGACAGCGGCAGCAGCGGGAATATCCCGTCTCCAGCATATTGAGGGTCTCACCCTGGCGAGTGAGGTGGGAGTAGCCAGACTGGGGCAGGTTCCAGGGGCCGTACACCACATGTTGGCGTGTCGGAAGGCAGATCTGGTCTAGGTTGTCCGGAGAAGGCCGCCCAGGGGGGAAGCCATCCAGCTGGTGGCTCCAGCCGCCTTGGGGTCGGCCCTGTTGGCAGTGCTGGCCTGGGCTTTGCTGTGTGAGGGGAGCTGGCTTTCCTAAAGTCGGGAAAACGGGTGGAGGGGGAGAGGAAGGCTGGGTGAGTCGGGAGGACTGAGAGAGCCTGGGGCTGAGGGGAAAGGACTGGGAGGATATGGGGGAAGAGGAAGAAAGGAATCTGTGGCTCTTACTTTCAGACTGAATAGGTGGAAGGAAAAGAGAACCGAGACGTGAGAGGTGTCGCCATTACTGTCCCCCTGAGTCAGGCCTGCTGCCTGCACTGCGTCCCCAGGCTCGGGCTCCCCGCCCCTCTCTGCAGGGGCCTGCGGACCAGAGCTGCCACTCACCTGCTCCCTGCTCAGGCCGGCCGGTGCTCTCCTCCTGTGTTGGGAGCTTCGATGTGTCTACTGAGGTGGAAGAAGTCGCGTAAGCAAAGGTCACATCGGGAAGGCTCTCTCTGAAAGAGGGGGGCCTGGCCAGACCCCACTCACAGAGAGTGGCTCGATAGAGAAGCAGGTGAAAACAGGGTCTATTCTCATGCCAGTTGATCTCCAGCTTTATAAAGTAGGTATTATTTCCCCAATGTGACAGCCAAAGAAGGAAGGCTTGGCGAGGTGACTTACCCACATTTACACAGCTGGTCAGTGGCTCAGCCCCCAAAGCTGGGGGGGTTAGAGAAGAGGTAGTCACTTACCCTCCTTCTGTTCAATAGGGCCCTTGGGAGGGGTCACTTCTTCTTGGACCACTTTCCCGGGGGCTTGGGAGTCCTTGGGGGTAGGGAGGTCCTTGTCCAGAGAGAATAATTCTGAGGAGAGGACACAAAGGAGCAAGGACTAGCCTGATGCCAGCAAGGTGATAGTGGGCTGGGGGCGAGGGAACTCCGAGCACTCACCACTCTCCAAAAGGATCTGGTCAAAGAAGGAGGAAAAGGGCCGCACTGCAAAAGGGAAGGGTGTGAGGATCCAGGTGAGGAGCCAGGGCCAGGCCTGCTCACCCTCTCCCCTCCCCCGCAGACACAGGGAACAGGTGCACTTACCTTCACTCTGTTCCTCAAAGCCAGGGTCATCCAGAGAGATGTCACTGTGGTCCCTGGCTTGTTTCAGGGGTGGGGAAGGGGGTGCTGCATAGCCAACTAGAGGCAAGAAGGGAGACAGTCAGAGCCTACAGTTCCTACGTGACCCCCAATCCCATGCCCTCCCCCAAACACTTACCTTCTTGAAGCTGCTCTGGTCCCAACTCCCTCTGACTGGAAGGCTTGAGGCCTGGAGTGAGGAAGGGTGAGTCAGGGTGGTTGAGAGGCCCTTCCTGGCTCTGAGCGCGGGGTGGGGAGGCAGGAGCGATCAGGAGCGTAGGAAAGAGGACGAAGCCACCAGCAGCCCCTCCTCATTGCTCCTGCCCCGTGTCCCCTAACCCACTCCCCAAACACACTGGGCTCTGAGCAAGCCTGTGACACTCTGACAGCCTCACCCCTACCAGACTCACAGCTTAGGGCCCCCCACGCCTGGGCCTACAGAGAACGGGACAGACGGGGCTGGGAGGAAGGCCCCCGTCTCCTGTCAGGTCACTCCCTCAGGGTCACAGCCACTCCGCTGGGGTGCTTCCCCAGTTCTCAGAAGGGAAGGTCTGACCCTTGAACTGATTGGAGCCTCGCCTCTCCACCTCCTCTGCCGACCCTCCTATTCCAGGGCCTTCTGACAAGAAGCTGCCCAGAAACGTAAGCTTCCTTCTCCTGTAGCTACTCCCAGGTCCTCCTTAGCTTAGGTCTCCACTGAGGAGGGGAGAGGGGGCGGGACACGAGACAGGACTCAGGACTGAGGCAAAGCCCTCAGCCACAGGGAAAGGAATCGCCTGTAGCTGACCTGGGGCAGGAGGCGAGGGGCAGCGAGAGGGCCTTGGGCAGATGGAGTGGAGCTGTGAATGCTCTCCACAGCTTCCTGGGGAGCGTTTTCCTCAGCACCCAGCAGGTCAAGTGTGTGTGCTCGAAGGTGGCTGTGTCCAGGCCCCTGTGCACGGGCGCCCTGTCAACTCTCCTCCCAACCAGGCAGGGTAGTCAGACTAGGTCAGCAAATTGGTTTCGAGCTGCCTGGGGGCCCTTCTTCCACCTTCTGCTGCCTAATTGGTCCCACATACATCTCCCTCAGGCAGAGGCCTCCCTCAGTCAGTCGGCCTCCCCACCCCTGCCCCAGATGGCCTTTGACTCCAAGTTTGTGTTTCTTGGCAAGCAACCACTAGGCACAGTCCCTAGCAACCACTAGGCATAGTCCCTAGCAGCAGCCTCGCTAGCAGCCCCTCCTGTGCTCTGGGCCCACCTTGGGCCTCCTCAATAGCAGGAGCAATTGGAGAACCAACCTGCTGGTGAGGAGCCACCTAGGAAGGCTGGACTCAGGCCCAGGCCCACGCTGGCCAGGACCCCTTCCCGAGGGCTGACTCCAACCCCAACTCACCTCCTTCAGAGGCTATGGAAGTAACAGCCAAACAGGCCAAGACCAAGGCTGCTCTGAGCATGGTCCTGGGGCAAGGACTGGCCAGTGGCCACCCAGGAGGTAAGTCTCCTCAAGTAGGTCTGTATCAGAAGTCTCCTCAAGTAGGTCTGTATCAGAAGGCCGGCTGCTGGGAACTTGCTCCTCTGGTTGCTGCTACTGCGGTAGTGAACTCCAGGCCGGCTGCCTTCCTTTTATATGGCAATGAGGGAATAGCTCCCGCCCTCCTCAGCTTCCTGCCATGACTCAGTCCCAGCTGCTCCCCCTCTGGCAGCCACTCCTCCCAAACTCACCCTGAGGCATCCTGAGAGGCTTGAGAAGAATGGGGGTAATGAGAGGGGAACATTTTTATGACCCCACGATGTCTGAAAGTTTCTTTTGTGCCTCAGTTTCTCCTTTTGCAGGTGGAGAAGGGAACTGCCGAGTTGGGGCTGGGGAAATGGGACTAAGGAGTTGAGTGGGAACAGGACATCTACCCTAGGGGCTCCCTAACCAGTGAGAGGCCTGGGCTGCCCTTTTTATTAACTTTTTCTTTTATTGGTTTTAGAGAGAGGGAGGTAATTTTTGTTCCACTTGTCTATGTATTCATTGGTTGATTTATTTTTGTTAATCCTCACCGAGGATATTTTTCCATTGCTTTTTTTAAGGGTGGAAGGGAGAGGGACAGAGAGAACATCCTGATGAGCCAGGGAACCTGCAACCGTGGCACGTGCCCTTGATTGGAAATGAACCCTGACCTTTCAGTCTTAGGGCCGACGCTCTACCCACTGAGCAATACCAGCTAGGCCTCATTCACTGATTCTTGTTATGTGTCCTCCCAGGGACTGAACCTGCAACCTTGGTGAATCAGGATAGCACTCTAACCGAGCTAACTGGCCAGGGCCTTGGTTGTCCCTTATTTTTTCTTTTCTACAGTTGATTTTTAGAGGGAAACATTAATGTGAGAAATGGTTGCCTCCTGCATGCACCCCAACCCGGGATCGAACCTGCAACTTGGGTATGCGCCCTGACCAGGAGTCCAACCCACCACCTTCTGGTGCACAGGATGCTCCCGCCAGCCAGGTCTGGACTGTCCCTCCTCACGCCCCCCATCCCCTGGGAGTCAACCCTCGTTACCCCCACCAGGAGTCAGATGAGACCCACCCAGAGCTTCAGGTTTATTATGTTTAGCTCCGCTCTCCTATGCCAGCAGCTGTGGCTCCCCCCACATCAGTCTCTTTCCGGAGAGCACATCCAGGCTTCCACACAGTTCTAAAGGGCCTGGGACTCCAGACTGTCCGTGAGGTTGGCCCCTCCTGAGTTCAGAGAGGCTGGTGGCTCCTGCGGGTCTGCCACATTCCTATCGAACGCTCAGAACATTTCCTCGGCGTTTGGGACCCTGGCGTTCTGCAGCTCCAGCAGCCGCCCCACAGCCGCTGTCAAGTCCCGTTCTCCAAGCCGACGATTGTCTCGAGTCCGAACGTTCACTGTTCTGTTGCTCTGCTCTTTCTGGCCAACCACTGCAAGCAGAAGGGGGAATATCTCAGGGCAGATGTAACCCACCTGGGGTGTCCCCTTTGCAGAAATGGAAGAGACCTAACCTAAGTCTTCAGAAAGGGTGAGAACAAAGCCACGATATGGTACAGGGCCCACTATATTACTGGCTCTTGCTCTTCAGCTCCCTGCTCGTGCTGAGGAGATAAGAAGCTGTTTAAGCCGGGAGCCCGGGGTCAGAGATAGTGGGGTCAGCCAGAGCAAGACAGAGGTCAGCTGACCAGAGAATGTCGGGGAAAGGGCAGGCGGCAGCGGTGGAAGGCTCCGGAAGCCCCTGGGCTGAGGGCAGCTCGCTCCGGGTGCTGGCAGCACGAGGCGGTGTGTGGAGCTAGAGAATCGGGTTATCTGGCGGAGGACTCTGTTCCTGGCTTTCATTGGAAAAAGAAAAAGGAACAGGCAGAGCTACACTGTCTCCGTCTCCGTAAGGCCTTTCTCCTCATGCAGGAGGGCTGACTCCACTAGGCCTAGAATAAACAAAGCTAACTAATTAGGCCTTATTAACCCTTCCTGTCCCTTTCTCTGACACTCCCTTGGTGAACTGACCTGACGGGCAGCTGGGAAGGGTCAGGAGAACACTGTTCCGTGGGTCAGAAGTAGCTGTTGGGGTGAACTATGGTCCAAATGGCTCAGGCCTCCTGGCTCCTGTCCAGCTTAGGACTGAGCCCCAAAGAAGCCGAACATGTAGGTGACAAAACTTAATGAAAAGGAGGACAGGGTACGGGGCGGGCGCTCGAGCTGTCACTCACCAAACTGAAAATTGTAGTTGGCGAGCTGGGCCGCGCGGACTCTGCGGCTGAGGGTCTGACTAGAGTCAGCGTCCAGGTCTCCGACCAGGCCCCCCGCCTGCAGGCTCTGCTGAACCTGGGCAGAGGTTTGGTGATGGGACGCAATTTAACGGAAGGCTGGTACCAAAGCCCCACCGTTCCTCCTTCCTCTGCCTCAAGGCTCTCGGGGTCTCAGACCCCCTCCTCCCTGCCTCCACATGGAGGCCCGCCCTCGCCCCGCAGCCTCTGTCTGTGCCTCCTGCACAGGCTCCCTGGCTGCCTCTTCTGGCTCCACTCCGCCCAGCCAGCTGCTGACCCGGGGACAGCCACGGCCTACTTCTCCCGAGAAAGCAAAGGAAAAGCACCGTGTACCCAACCCCTTTCTGTGCTGGCGTCAGCCTTCATGTGTGTTAGCTGTCACCTCTCCACCAGGAGGGACCAGTCTGTTTCTCAGATTGAATTCCAGCATAGAGACCAGCAGCCTCCGAGCGCTGTGCGCCCTCCCACCCCCCGCCTCTTCCTGTGCACGTGCTCGGCCCTGTCCTTGCCCCCAATCCTCACCTCCCGGGCGTAGTCTTCTTGCTCGGCCCCCACTGGGAGGACCATCACTTGGAACGGGGACAGCCACAGCGGCCTAGTTGGGAGAACAGGGGAGGGCAAACTCCTTATTCTGGCTCCGACCCTGAGGGCGGCTGCAGCGAGCAGCCTGAGAAGGAAACAAGCTGGAGTCTGAAGGGGGCAGGGTCTGGGGCCTGCACCGTCCTGTCTGAGCTCAGAACGGAAGTCGGGGGTCTCACCATCTCCCCCCACAGCTCTCCGCCAGCACTCCCAGCATTCTCTCCACTGAACCCAGCACTGCTCGGTGAATGAGGACTGGCCGCTCCGGGGCCCCGGCTCGCCTTAGAGGGAAAAGAAAAGGGGGTGGGATGGAGATTGTGCAATCCAGATCACCTGCCAGTTCTTAGAAATACTCAGGCTCAGCAGAGAGGGTGTGCAGGGTTCGGGTCCTTTTGGGGCCAAAGGGGGAAGGGGAAGCTGTTCTCCAGTGATCCCAGGGGCAGCCGCGCGGAAAGGGAACTGGTCCGGGCGAGGCTCGTACCCCTTGTACTGGAGGTCGAATCTCAGGGGCAGCTGGAAGTCCAGCTGGATCGTCCCGCACTGATGGGGCCGGCCCAGGGCATCGTGGAGGTGCACGTCAATCTGGAGGAGAGGGGAGGGCTGGTGAGAAGCCAGAACCCGTGCCCCCCTTTCCATTGACCCCCACCCAGGCTGCTCTGAGAGCCTCCCCAGCTGTGCCAGACCCCCCTCACTCAGCAGGGCTGCGGCGGCACGCTCAGTGGTGGTCCATGAGGGGACCCCAGCACTTACATGCTGACCCACCCGCTCCCTGGCCTCAGCTCGGAGGCCTTCACCCACACCCACATGTGGCGGCACCTCCGGAACGGTCCACCCTGCTCTGATCCGTCCCTGGGTTGTTTTTTTTATAAATATATTTTTATTGATTTTGTACAGAGAGGAAGGGAGAGAGATACAGAGTTAGAAACATCAATGAGAGAGAGTCACTGATCAGCTGCCTCTTGCACACCCCCTACTGGGGATATGCCCGCAACCAACGTACATGCCCTTGACCGGAATCGAACCCGGGACCTTTCAGTCCCCAAGCCGATGCTCTATCCATTGAGCCAAACCGGTTTCGGCCGTCCCTGGGTTTTCTAGCTCTGACAGTTCTTCCTGCTAATAGCTCTTCAATGGCTAGGCTCCTTAATGCTGCGTTTTCTTCCCGTTCACAGACGCCTCCGCCTTTGCTTCTTCCCTAGGCAGCTGTCCCCACTCTCCCGGGTTCCCGACCTCATCGTTCCCGTAACATCCACACGGCAGACTCCCACCCTGGTGGCACCCAACAGACTGGCTCAGCGCGCCCAACACGGCACACACCACACAGGTGAAAACGGATGGATGCCCCGTCTGTGCTGCTGTGACCAGCTGTGTCCTCTCCTCCTCAGGGCTTTTCAAGCTCTCCCTTCTCTTCAGTGCTCACCTCCCGCGCTGAAACCTTTTCTCCCCCCACTCCCTCTCACCACATGACTCTTTCCCCTATTTCATGGAAAATTCAGACAATTACTATCTTGAGATGGAAAATGTTTCAAACCCTGTAACCACACCCATGAACTTCCTTGCATGTACCCAGCCTTTCTGTCCGCCCCCACAAGGCCAAGTTCTTCCTTCGGTAGAAGTTCCCTCACTGACACCCCTTCGACAGCGTCACCTCCTCCCTGACCCCCAGGCACCCTCCCGTTAGGCATTTAAACAGCCTCAGGTCTCTCCCTTCAGAAACATTCCGGCTCCTCAGGCCCTTGGTAACTCTGCTTTGGAACAGCCAGAGTTCCTGAGTTAGGTTCATTCATTCCCTCCCTCCCTCCACCCTCTCTCCACTTTACCAAACATGGTCCTGCAAAACCTAACAGCCTTGGGCCCCGCCTTCTCTCTGGTCTTTCTAGAAACCAGCTCTGCTCTTTCTGTGCCAGACAGCGTCCTCAAGGGGCAGGCGCAGTGCAACTCATGATGACCAATCCACTGGGCCCGGCAGTGTGGCTTCCTCGCTTGTTCACAGCTTACTGTTCTCTGTCTGCTCTGCCTCTTCCTGGGCTGCATGAAGCAGCAAGCTTTTACCAACGTGCTTTGCTGGCAAGTGCTCTCACCAGGGCTGCGCCAAAGGTTACCGCACTTGCAATTCAGCAGAACCTTCCTGGCCCGAGCTTGTCAGAGGAGCTGCCACTGCCTGTGCTGTCCATTCATCTCTGTCAGCTCCTGACCTGTTCGGGGGAGGATTTTCCCGTGACTCTCCCTGCCTCATGCTGCCACACACAAAAGAAGT